GGAGCTTTCAGGCGCAGGGGTTCTCAACCTCAGCGTGATTGAAATTTGGGGTCTGATAATTCTTCATGGAGGGGGGCTGTCCTGTGCACTGCAGGATCCGCAGCAGCATCCCTGGCCTCTCCCCACTAGATGCCAGTAGTACGTCCCCCAGCAGCTATGGCAATCAAAAATGTCTTCAGACATTGCCAAACGTCCCTGGGGAGCAAAATCCATTCAGGTTGAGAGCCAGTGGAAGAGAACAAGTGCATTCAGCTTCCTTCCATCATTCCTAGAAGACAATGTGGTTGGAAGGCTGCAATCCTTGCTCTGGGGAAAGGATAGGTAAAAACTGAAGGGTAGGAGAGCTTGGGGCGGAGAAGAAGTAGGGTCATATGGCGAGAACAGAGAACAGAGACAGAGTAGACAGACTGGCTTGGGGAAAGACTGGCTGCAGGACAGACTGGCTGGCACCAGCCAGGAGACAAGGCCAACACAGACATTGTCATTAAATCTAGAGGCAATGTTGAGGCTTGAGTGCCATGTGGAGAGGTCAGCAGGCAGGAATGTGATGGAGGTCCCAGAGTCTTCAGCCCACTCACAACCCTGCCCACAGATCCCCCTGAATCTCAGACGTACATGAGACAGGACATATTGCAGGTGTGAGGTTACCATGCCCTCAACAAGACATGTACCAAGAGATGACAGAAGGGATGTCAGATTTGACAGAAGGGATGACCAAGTGTCCAGCTTGACACAGGAAGAATGCATAGTTCACTGAAACTGGAAATTTTAACAAGCACAATATGTAGGAAATCATCCAAACACACATTTATAATTGCCCCCTTCTGCTTCTATAAAATTTATTCATTGGGGAAGTTTTTCCTTGCAGATAGATCAAATCTTCTTATGCCCTGTGACTTTTCTGGTTCACTCTTAGAAGACAGTTTTCTCCTGTCCTTGAGTGAAAATTCACACTCTGCAAAAGTAAAATCAGGAGATTTACCGGAAGTCCAGAACAGTCTGGACCAGGAAGACATCCAAATTCCAAGTGAAGATGGCTGCTCTGCCGGACAATGAGGAAGAAAACATTTTTGTACAGTTGGAGCAGGAATCGAAAGTTACAAAATCATAACTGTCTCAAAGACAATGAGAGGAGTCAAAGATGGGCTATCCAAAAGTGGGGATGTAGCAGGTATAGGTGGATAGGCAGAAAACACACAAGCAGGATTACATGATTGGTTAAAGGTGTTTGCCCTTCAGTGTATTACAGGATGGTCACAGGACAGTGGCAGGACGAGTTTTTCTGGCAACCTGCTATTAAAATTGCTTTCTCAATCATGTCTGTTTCTGCAGGTCCCCTGTAAAGATTTGTCCATAATGCTGTGTGGCAAGACCCCTTGGGTATGAGTGATCACATCTTGCATTTGTTTGACCATAGAGGAAACACCCTTTGAGCACAGATTGTGATATCCTGTACCTGCCAGACCTCCGAGAAAAGGAACGTTTCCTTTAGGGTGTATGGTTAGGTCCCCATCCAGGGTAGAGGAACTGCTGTTAGGAAAGATAGCTTTAAAATTCAACATGGATTCTAGACTCACATCAAGACTTTAACCTGCAGTGAGGCTCTGCTTTCAGCCTGCTCTATTTACACACGCCAAGTGCCTCTGATCTTAGACTCTCATCCATCCCCTAAGATCAACAGACTGAGAAAACTCCAGGGGTAGAGGAGGTGGGGAGGGAAGAAAGGGGAAACAGGACAGGAATGCTCTCACTTGGTGGTACTGGCCCAGACCGGGTTGGCTTCCCTCTCTGGGTCCTGTAGGTGTTTGAAGGTCTCTTATAGGAGCTTCTGTGGGCTCTTGAGGCCCCCTGCTGGGCCCCTCAGGCCACAGCTCCTGGCTCGTGAGGGTGATGTCTCTCCTTCAGCTAGCTACACCCTCCGTGGATTCTCCTGGGTCGTCTCACCCTCTGCTGGACTCTCCTTATTCTCCCTTTCTTCCCTCAGGCCTGCATTAGGTCCACAGAACACTCTTCCACGGTCCTTGGGCAGCCGCCAGTGGACTTCAATGATTTCCCAAATGCAGCCCTTGTCCCCTCTCTCTCTCTTTCCCCTTCCTCTTTTTCTACCTCTCTCTTTTTCTCCTACTGCTTCTGTCCTGTCATACATAGATCCCTCCTTCAGGGGCTTGAGTAAGGAACCTGTGCATGGGGTCCCTCAACCTCAAAGAACACATACCACACTCTCCAAGTGTCCCCAGTGAAGACCCTCTCCCTAGACTTGAGAAAGAGGCACTCACCACCCCTGCCCCTGAGGGGATAAAGGGTGATGGGATATGCATTATCAGCTCTCTCAGAACAAGTCTTCTCACAAATCCTTCTCTTCCCCTCTCCCTGTTTTATACTCTTAAAGTACACAGGGAGTGCAAGATTCATGGAACTGATTCTTAGATATATACAAAAAATATCTAGGGTAATCTTTCTTATGTTGTTATTGTTATGTGCCGTTGAGTCGGACCTGACTCATAGTGACCCCTCCTTGGGTTTCCGAAGCAGTATCACTACAGAAGTAGATTGCCCAACCTTAGTTCCGAGGAGTAGCTGGTGGGTTTGAACAGCCAGCCTTCTGGTTAGCAGTCAAGTGCCTTAAGCACTATGCTACTGGTATCTAATTTGCATTTACCTTGATGCCTCAGTTAAAGCATCATGTTAACAACCTGATACAATACACTTAGCAGTAGGCAATGATAAGCAGTTGTCATGCTTTCAACAGCTACTTATTAAACATTAAGCACTGTGCTTAGAGAGAGAGAGAGAGAAAGATTTTGAGAGAGAGAGTATTTGGGAGGGGTCAGTCACAGTCACAGAGATAGAGGGTTCTGGGGGTAGAAGATATAAGCCAAGCTCTAGGGTTGTGGGTGTCCAGGGAAGCACATGGATAAAATCAGTGCAGATCAGGTTAACAATTCACACCCTGACATCTTTGATATCTTCTTGCTAGTCAAGGGTGTGACAGTATTGCCACTGCATCTTTGCTCCTCCTGTGGCTGGAGGGGGCAGCCTGTTCTGAATTTGTCATCCTTTCCTCTCCTACCTTCTTTGTTCCCCTGTGGTGCTCTGTGTCTGGTGGGAGTTTTAGAAACTGGAGCTTTTCTTAGAACCATCCAGGACCCTTTCACAGAGGTGTTGACTTCAGTGTGAGCCATAACCTAAGACCATGAACTGGAGAAACACAAGCTGGGAGGACTGTCTCAGAGCAAGTTAAACAACTAACTATGGTACCAACAGTCTAATTTTTGCATTGCAGGCACCTTCCTGGTCACTGTGCTGGTGAGGAATGCCTTCTCCAACTTGAGTTTGGTAATTGGAAGCATCACTGTCTCAGGCAAGTGGTTTCTGCAAGGGGTGTGAAATGTGTTACCAGGAATCACAGGCATTGCACTCCTCGGAACCTAGTGAAGGACACCTTAAAGCAGGCTTTTGTCTTGTTCTGCAGATATTAGGAAGTGTCTGGTTACTCCAAAGAAGCAACGATGCACGCAGTAAAGCACTCAACTGCTGAATCCTAAACTATTACAATTTGTATTAGTTAAGATGTTTTAGGCTGAAGTAACAGAAAGCCCAGCCTGAGTGGCAGTTCAGAGCTTGCTTATCTTACATAATAAGTTAAGAAGTAATGAGTGCCAGGGTTGCTTCAGTGGCTCAGTGATACCAGTGATGATCCAGGCTCAGTCCATCTTTCTGCTCCGATTTCCTTGGAAGTTTGGCTTTGTCCTTAAGCTTGTCTCTCATGGAATTAAGACAGTTACAGTTGCAGACACTGCATGTCTACCCAACATCATCCAGAAACAGAAGGTGGGGGGGGGGCATTTTGTTCCATGTACCTCTTTTTGTCATGGAGGAAATCTTTCAGACTAGCCCTCAGCAATCTTCCCTTCAGATGCCTTCACCCAGGATAGGGCCATGTGTTCCAGCTGCAAGAGGTGCTAGGTAAGCAGGTAGGTGCTCAGCATTCTTAGGCTCTGTAGGAAAAAGTGGCCTCTGACAGCCAAGAGGAAGGGTACAATAACGGCTGTTGGGTAGGCACCCATCAGCAGCTGTCCCAGCTCTTAAAGATCACCTAAAATGTGTAAGCCAGGACTCTTGGAGGACTCCTGGAGTAGCAAGGGACAAAAATATGATTCAGGCTAAAAGGAAACTTTATCAGCTCTGAAGAGAAAAGTCCCGGCGTACCTCTCTGGCTTTCAGCACAGTTGGATGCAGTTCCTCAAACAGTGTTTTCAGAAACCGCCCTCTCTCCATCCCTTGGTTCTGGGTTGCTTCTCTCTCTTCCCAAGAGTTACCAAGATGGCTCCAGGCTTAGCTCCTTAACCCCAGAGGAGAAAGAGCACATCTTTCATGGTATTTTTGGGCTGTCTTTTAGTGGTCTACACTAGGCTCACATGCCCCATGGACTAGCCACAGAGATGGTGCAGGACCAGGCAGCTTTTCGTTCTACTGTGCATGGGGACACCATGAGTCAGGGTGACTGGATGGCAGCGAAGAACAACAATACAAAGCAGGGCTACTGCACCCCCTTAACTGGTAGTTAAGCTAACAGCACAGTAAGTCTTGTGTTTTATCTACATTTTCAGCTGCTTCTTTCCTAACTGCTCAAGCTGAGTCTTTAACTCAGTGTTGAACAAAACATCCTTGCTTTTGACCTTTTTCCCTATGACCTGAATGTTTGCTTAGTTCCCCTAAACCCTTTCCACCACCAAAGCTTAACACTCATTCCTACTGTGTTCACAGCTCCCCCCGGTCTCCAAGAACCACCTGAGACAAATGTGGAAAAAGATGTGAGTATTTTCTTTTAAACAGTTAGCATCACTAAAAAAACCCAACAATGTCCAAACACTCTGTTTTAGTTTTTGTTTCTTGGTGCTAATAGCCAGAGCGCTAGGAAATAGCAAGGTTTTTCCATTTGAAAAGAGGCCCAAAAGGATTGAAATCACACAAAGCACGTTCTCTAACCACAACAGAACTTTGTTAGAAATCAATAATAATAAACTATCTAGGATGTTCAGATATCCCTTTGACATCTTGAAAATTAAATAGCATGCTTCTAAAAATAAATCTGTGCGTCACAGAAGAAATTGCAAGGGAAATTAGAAAATATTAAGAATGAGTAAAAATCAAAATATAAGCTATCCAGTTTTGTAGGATGCAGCAAAAGCAGTGCTCAGAGGGAAAATTATAGCTTTAAATATTTATGTTGGAAAATGGTCACAGGTTCTTCACTAACAGCTAGTAAAACTAAATCTTGGACTCCTTGCTGTTGACATTCATCTATCCATCCCTTCAACACCAAAGCCTTACAGTGTACCTGTCTAAGTCAAGGCTCAGAATCAGAGGCTGAGAATACTATGATGTAGTCATCCCTGAGCTTAGTGGGTAAGACTACCAAACCAATTAACATATAATTAGGAATTGTGACAGGTATTCTGACAAGAATCAACAGGGTATGAAAATAGCAACTAACAGAGAGTGGTCTAGAAAATGTAGTCAGACAAGGTCTGTTAAGAGGTGACACTTACGTGGGCACCTGAATATAAGACTGTCAGCCATGCAGGAGGGCAGAATAAAAGCTTCCTGGGTGTGCAGGACGAGAAGGGCCCAAGGCTGGAAATGGCCCATAGGGAGGGTGTTAAGAGATGAGTGCAGAGATCTCACAGGGCCCCAGGTGCCACGGCAAGGAGTTTGGATTACATTCTCAGGCCACAGGAGGCCACTAGGAGTTGAGTTCCTCTGTAGCCTTGTGTTATTCTAGCGTAAGCCCTCTAGGCTTGAGCAAGAAGCCAAACAGCCTAAGCTGTCCAACAGGTCCCACCAGAATTTACTCCAGGAACACACCTGTCCCCTCCTGATCCCTCTTCCTTGTCCAGTGCCCACACTCTCTCCTTTGTTGCCAGCTAACTCTCACTCCTCCTCCTTCAGGATTGTTCTGGAACCCTGTCCTCTGGAGAAGCTTGTCCACATCCCAGCTGTCTCATTGATCATTATAACAGCCATGAACACTTCCTCTGTGCCAGACACTGCTTATCTCATTTAATCCACGGCAACCTCAGGAGTCAGATGCTATCAAATCCTGGGAGGTACTGGCCAAAGGTCACGGGGCTGATGATCCTGGCTTAGATTTGGCTGATCCCAAGGCTTACATTTTGAACCTGCTGCCTCCCTCTTCTAAGCATTCTTAACCCCCTGTAGCCATTATTACTGGGTGTTTAAATTTATTCATCTATCTTCTCTACTGTACTTAAGGGCAGCAGCCAGATCTTGTGTGTGTGTGTGTGTGTGTGTGTGTGTATGTGTGGTAAAAGATATGTCACAAAAAGTTTGCGTTCTAACCATTTTTAGGTGTACAATTTAGTGACATCCATGACATTCACCGTGGTGTGCAACCATCACCATTGTCCATCTACAAAAGTCCCCATCATCTCACACAGAAACTCAGTGCCCCTTCCTCAGCAGTAACCCCCCCTCTCCTTCCCAGGCCTGTAACTGCTGATAAACTTTGGCCTCTGTGTATTTGCCTATTCTAGGTATTTCATAGGTGTGGGGGTGTGGTTGTTATGTTTTTATGTCAACTTGGCTGGGACTGGTTGAGTGGCTGGGCAGCTGGTGGTAGTTATTCCCCATGATGAGACTGGCAATCACCTCCATGGTGGGATCTACCACAAGCAGCTGAGTAGCTGCCTTTAGGATGTGGTCTGTTTCCTGTACATAAGGAGAAGCTTCAAGAATGGTCTCTAGCCTATGGCACGTTTGGGCCCTGCATGTAGCCATGTCATTGCTCAGCAGCCTGTTATGCTCTGCTGACCTTGGGACTTACAGTGGACTTAAGTTAATGGCCTGCCATGTGGTTTGGTAACATCAGGACTGTGCCCTTTTTGCTTTTCAACCTTGGGGTTTCTCAGCCTCAGCAGCCAGCAGCTGTCTGAGTGAAGAAATGCCTCTAGCTCCAGTGGGCTGGAAGCAGAAGGCGGAGCTGGACCCCAAGGTTGAGGGGCTTTTACCCAGTCCCTAAAGCCTGGCACTTTGAACTTGGACTTAAAGCCTCCAAATTGTAAAAATAAACCCATTTGTTAAGGTAATCCCATTTGTGGTATATTTCTTGTCAGAGTGGCACTAGGGAACCAGAACAGGGGGGGGATCACACACTGTTTGTCCTTTTGTGCAGGGGTCAGGCCTGTTTATTCCGGTATCTGGAGGCACTGAGCATAGCTCTGGTCAGAGCAGGCTCTGGTAACACATGTTGGCCCATAGCACTGACTGCATATCCCAACTTAGGTCATCTACTCAGTGATTCAGAGCCATGGACTCTACGTCCTTGAGCACAGTACCGATAGGCCAGAGCAGGCTCTATTGACACAGTTGACTGTATAGTGGGCCCACAGCACTGAGCCCACATCCCAACTCAGGTCACTTACCCAGTGATTCAGAGCCATGGACCCCATGTCCCTTGAGTGGAAGCCAGGTAGATCAGACAGGGTCTGTCTCCATTCTGTGCCTTTCACTGGGGTCATTCTTAGCGCAGATGCTCTGGGGTAGAGAGGTGGAGTGCCCACAGTGAGGCTGGGCTAACGGTCGAGGGTCACCTCATCACTGCCTGTTTTTTCTGCAGAAAGAAAAAGGGAAAACCAGGGTGTATGTTGAACCTGATCGATATGTGGATCCTTTCACAACAGTGACTCTGGGCTGGCCAGACAATGACAAGAATTTACACTTCCAGTGGTCATGTGGTAGGTGCCTGTAGAGTTCTTGAAGTTGTCCAAACTCACTGAGAAGAGCTAGTAAATTCCACTGAAATCTGGGAGGTGATGGGGAGCAGTGGCAAACCAAGGGTGGGTGGGCAGTGGCTGTGGGAGTGATTGGCCCTGAGTGCAAGTAGTAAGGGGAGGCATTACCTACAGATAATTTAAAAACCATAATAAAACCAAATAGAAGTCAGACTTATTTTTTATTATCATTGTGCACTGACGATTTTACACAATTTCAATAATAAACTATTCCTCCCCTTCAACCCCCAGCTCCTTGGTATGCCACTGGGGAAGAAGTCTAGAAGGGGGAAGTGAGTGAGGCATTTTCTGACAAACCAAAATTGCCTCCACGTTTTAGAAATGGGTGTCCTCCTTCTCATATGGAAATATTTTTCTATCTCTACACACACACATACCCCATACACATTTCTTTTAGAGAGAAAATTGCTGTCATACAGACTGTACGTATTACAGTCTTCTGTTTTCTTTTTCAGTTAACAATCTAGCCTGCATACTTTAACATTGTGGTGTCATCTCTCCACTTGATCTTCAGGGTAGCTGTCCAACAGACTGCCCAGCTGACTTACCAGCTCCCTAATTTGGATACTTGGGTTATTCCATTTTCGGTCCTTATATCCAACACCATAATGAACAGCGTTTACTCTGACCTTGACTCACACCTGTAGTTATTCTTACAAAAGAATTTCTAGAAATTAAATAACTGGGGCAAAAGCCAGGCTAAACGTCAAGGCTTTTGATATTGATTGTCAAATGCTCTGGCCATTCTGCTGACTATTAGTTCTCACCATCTGAATTAACAGAGGATTCCCATACTGAGTGGGTGTGACTTAGCTCATGAACTTGACTCTTGGATATATCCTGTGCATGGCTGTGTATCAAGGAAGAAGGGTGAGATGATTGATTGATGGATAAATAGTTAACAGAGTTGAAGGCAAAAGATACAGAAACTCATGGAGTTGGTAACAGGTAGCGAGAGATGGCATAGGATGCTCCCAAATGGGGGTACAGCCTCTCAGGTCCCCAGAGAACCACACAGGGACATAGAGCTGCAGACAGCCACAGCCACATGGAGTGAGAATCACACCGAGGGTCGGAAGCTGCCTGGGGCATTTTCCTGGTCCCCTCTCCAGCTGTACACCTGCCTATTCCCCAGGTGCAAGCCAACCCTAGCACATCATATAGCCTTAATCAGAGCCTGGGTGAAGTGTGGGTCATTTTTCCAGAAACACCCTCCAACAGAGCCATTAATTTTTTTTTTTAATTGTTTAAATCAAAATCTCTCTTTGGAGCTTATTTTCTTATCCATGGCTCATTTCTTCCAAATCCCCAACCAAGAAGGCAGCCAAGTGTGTCCAGTTACAGGTTCCCAGCTGCTGGGTGGCTAATATTATTTGCCCTCCCCTGTTCCCCAGGGCACTGCTGGGCTCAGTGGAGCAACTGTGTTCAGAGGCAGCTACTTCACACAGACCAGAGGGAGCTGCTGGTTCCGTCCTCCTGCCTGCCACCACCAGACTCTGCTGTGACCCTGCGCCTGGCTGTCTGGAGAGGACAGAAACTGGAGAACAGGGAGGAGCAATGCGTCTACGTGTCTGCACCCCGGGAACTCAGGCCTCGAGTCAGGTGGGGCACGAGTGGACCCCACAGCGCTGACACTCATTCACGTGACAGCATTTCCGGAGGCTGGCACCTCTCCCTGTGGTGGGCAAAGCCAGGCAGGTCTTGGTTCACACAGGTGCTATTCGTTGCAGTAGACAACAATTCACACACATGGTTGAGAGGAAAGGACATGCTGCTGTGACAATTCCCGAGGCTGGGCTCAGGGAAAGCCTCCCTCAGGAGCTGGGGCTTGAGCAGAGGTGGGAGGCTATGGAGGACACAAAGCCGCCCTGGACATGCCCCTGGAGCTTTATAGGCCCCTGGCACCCAATTCTGCTGTCTGCCTGCCCATCCCCCAGGTGCAAGTCAGTGCTGCAAAATGACTCTAGCATAGCCTGCAGGTTTACTCAGGGAATGGGTGAAGCATGGGCAAAGCACATACCCTCTCTGAGCCCAGTTTGCTCGTCTGTAATATGGGGATTATAATATGTCACTCGAGAACACCAGGAAGATGTTATCTGTGATTTATTGACTGTGCAAAGGCATCTGACTGTGTGCATCATAACAAATGATGGGCTACACTGCTAAGAGTGGGAGTTTCAGAACACTTAATGATGCTCATGTGGAAATTGTCAATAGACCAAGAGGCAGTCATTTGATAACAGAACAAGGGGCTATCACGTGGTTTAAAATCAGGAAAGGTGAGAATCAGGGTTATATCCTTTCATCATACTTTTTCAATCTATATGCCAAGCAAATAATCCAAGAAGTTGGACTATATGAAGAAGAATGTGGCATCAGGATTGTAGTAAGACTCACTAACAACCTGTGACATGCAGATGACATAACTTTGTTTGCTGAAAGCAAAGAAGTCTTGAAACATTCACTGACAAACATCAAAGACTACAGCCTTCACCATGGATTACACCTCAACGTAAAGAAAACAAAAATCCTCACAACTGGATCAATAAATAACATCGTGATAAATGGAGAAAATATTGATGTTGTCAAGGTTCCATTTTACTTGGATCCACAATGAATGCCCATGGAAACAGCAGTTAAGAAATCAAACGACACACAAAAGGACAAATATTGTATTAGTCCGTTATTGTAAAAGTTAAGGAAAGGTTTATATATTGGAGGACATTTTCTTTGTTGGTTACCAGGTGTG